GCAGGGTTTCTATTGTTATGGGGGTGGGGTGGGGGGGGGGAAATGGGCAAAGCAAGAAAGTCCTGAATGATTTTTCCACTCTTATTTTCCAATGCGCTGAGCACAGCTTCCACCACTTCCCTTGGGAGACTGTCCTGAAATCGAACAGATCTCGCAGTGAGGAGGCTGTTTGATTCTGAGCCTTGGTTTTCTATTGCTCGCTCTGGCTCTTTCCTCTTACTTGCACATTCTAAGGGCTGGGGATGTGCGTGTGCTAGTTCCTTTTTCTTTTGTCCTTGAGGTTTATCCTCTCTAAACTCTTGGAAGCTGTAACTCTCTCTCTGTGTAGGTTGGCAAAAAATGTGCATTTATTTCTCTGTATCACTCCTAAATTGTGAGCCAGCTGACCTTTAAATAAAAATGCAAAGGCATGCTTTCCTGGTACCTTTGGCATCCCAGGCTCTGAAATCTGAAGTTGTTCTGCACTTCAACCTGTGGAACATAATGCCTTCTAATCTCCACCTTTAAAAATGCTGAAGTATCAGAATGAATGCTGCAGAATTACTCATTTTCTCCACCGGATGCTGTGGTGAGTATATGCAAACTCTTGCACACATACACAAGGGATGAATAAAGTGTTGCTAGATTGCTGTGCAGATATCCCCTCTAGATAGCATTACCAGTGCAGCAGTTGATTAGAAGGTCGTGGCTGAAGTTAGTAATCTGTGCACACATTCTATCTATTACATAAACTTGTGTGGTTTTATCCATAATCTGACATTGCTTCACTAAGCACTTCTTTGTTATCTGAATAGAGTCTCTCCATGGTGTGTGTCTGCATTTGTAAAAACCCAAGTTGAAAAAGCCTCCTTCAAAGTTAAGGGCAGCACCCAGGTGTATCTTTTCCCGAAACATCATTCTGCTGCTGACAAAGCAGGAGATGCACATATTGTAGTTAGGGGAAGAGAAGAAAGCCTACAATAGTATATAACTTTCATCATGTAATGATCTTTATGTTAGTTTTGCACAGTAGAACTTTAATGGTGGCAAAGAAAGCAAAATGAAAATGTAAGGCTTCAACACTTCAGTCTGGCTTCTGGGTAGTTTGGTGAAGAATTGACTATAAAATGGGAATGGATCATTTTCAATTTAACATATTTTGGAGGTGTATTAAACTAAGCAGTATGTGTGTTTGAACTATTTTAGCATATATTCAGCTTAGGTGGGGAAACAGGAGCAAACAGTGAAGCTCTGGTTACCTTTTTGGCAAATGGTACAGACAATAAAGCTATTCTGAGCACGTTTGTTTTAAAAAGGAAATAACAGAGATACAGAAAAAAAAAATATTGGGCTGGAGTATTAATAGCTTGTCCCATTTTTCCTCCCAAGCCTTTCTCCTATTTTAGGGAGTTAGAGTTTTTGTCATTCAGGAATCCAGCTGCCTTAAATACCTTTATTTTAGTTCCTTATGTAACCATGGGTGTGACACTACCCGTGCCCTCACCTGAATAGGGGGACCCTGGGGTAGCTCCCTGGGGAGCTGCTGCACGGTCCCCAAGCAGAGAGCCTTCTCTTGCAATCAAACAGACTTGCAGACTGTTATAAAACTATGTACAGGATTTAATTATTTACAAGGTAACATATAACCAAGGCAATAGAACAAATGTTACACTGCATGACCTGGTGATGCTGGCTTAAGGGTTAATGCTTCTTGGCTATACATTACACTAGGGGAAGGTATACAAATTACCCACAATAAGTAAGGAACCAGTAAATAAATACACTGATACTCCAACTAATAAACCATCAAGAACTTATTTATAGTCTATAACTTGTACAGTGTGTACTGAGGACCCTGTGTGCACAGCCCCTGGCAGGGTGTCTCGGGGAGCAGGGCTGTGTCTGTGCCCCTGCACAGGATCTGTGGTCCATCCCTGGTGCTGGCACCCTTCCCTGGCTCAGCAGAGAGCAGTGTCTGGGCTGCAGGTTGTAACATTTTCCCCTGCCCAACACAGCCTGGCAGCCCCTCCCCAAACCTTGCCTGCCCTAGCCCAGGGCTCTCTCCAGCACTTGAGCCTGCCCCTCCCCAGGGCCTTCTCACTCACAGGGGAACAAGGAGGGCAGTCTCCAGTCTTTCCCCTTGGCCCTGCATCCTCCTCCCCTGCTGTGCTCACC